AGCCCGGAGGGTGAAAGTACAGTGGTTGTGTCATCGGCTGGTGGATACAAGCAGGAGTTTGTAGTGAATCAACACAACAGGTTGCTGTACCAGGAGGTCCGGCTGATGGAAGTCCCGGGAGAGTACAGCATCAAAGCGACAGGCCAAGGCTGCGCGTTTCTGCAGGTTGCTGCCCGTCCGTAGCCTCACTGGGCTCCCTTCTGTGCCCATAGCCCTTCAAGTAACTCCTGTATTTGCTGGACTTCTGATTAGCTGAAAAAATCAAATCACAGGCATAACCCTTTGTTAATTCATTAAGGTAATGTTAACTCCCCTGCTTCTGTGTCTTCGGTCTTCTAACAAAACATGTGCATGTTGGCCTGTTATTTCCTCGCCCAGATTGCTCTGCATTACCACATCCCTGCTCCTGCTGACTTCTCAGCTTTCAGCATCACCACCAAGACAGATGGGCTATGCGACAGCTCAAGGAAGCCCTTGACAGTGTCTGTGGAAGTGAGGTGAGCTTAGTGCCAGATCTGCTTTCATGCCACCATCCAAAAGGAAATGTACTCTGACGTTTCCTCTTATGTTGACTGGAAAATGTAGCTTCGGAGGGCTCAGACGGTGAAGTGGGGGGTAGCTCCAGCTGACCAGGGGGTATTCCGCTGTCCAGGGCTACCTGTTTCATCATTGCGTCCGCCAATTCGCTCCTCAGCTGCCGCAGGTTTAACCGTACCTCTTCTGCCAGGAACGAGTCCTTTGTTGGGGAGATCCTAGCCAGGATCTCTCCCGTCTGAGCGGCCAGGGCGCGAGCTGCAGGATCATCCTGTACCTCAGGCTGCTGCAGCAAATGAATTGCCTCGCTGACCAGGCTGCTGTATTCAGCGTCGGTGAGCTGAGACGTTTTCTTGGGGAGGTCTGTCATTCTGTTGAGATCGCTGTCGGACGAGCAGAGAAGCGGGGAATCAGAGTCGGGAAACAGGAATCCAAAACACGGGGTTTATTCAGGGAACAAGCAACACAGCACAAAACGTCAATGACAGACCTGGGGAAACAGACTTGAACGCGAACTGAAATACACAAGACAAGGCGAAATGACAGAAAACCGCTGATCACAATCGGGATGCACACGAGGGTAACGAGGTGGGCGTGGCACATGAGAGGGCTGGACGGAGGGACGTAGTACTGAATAATTAATAGAAAGGCAAATTGGCTTTTAAGGTAAAACAAATGCCGAAACAATATAATTGCTTGGGTTTTCAAAGCTTGGCAATCCTTTAATATTTTGTTGTGAGTTTGAGTTTTGTTCCTTTTTTACATATAGTGCTAATCAAATGTTTAGACATAAACTACCCATAGAACAATTCATTTCTACTACTCAAATATGAAAACTATAAAATAACACATATTAAATAATAATAATAATAATAATCAATAATAATCAATACTTTATTGATCCCCTTGGGGAAAAAAGACCCATAGAACAATTTATTTATACTATTCAAATAATATCAAAACTATAAAATAACAGATATTGAATTATCTACATACCAAAAAAATAATTCAACAAAAAAAATAATAATAATTTGTTTGGGGGGGGTTAGCTCTGTGGGTTGTGACTCGGAAGGTTGCCGGGTCAAATCCTTGGGTCAGCAGAGTGATGTCACCTTTGGGCCCTTGAGCAACCCCAATAGCTCCAGGGACTGGCTGACCCTACTGTCTCCTCTATACTGGTTTCATGAGGTGGCCTCCTGGGGTGCTTTTCCAGTTGTCCTGAAGTAGGTCCTACATATATACTGAGCACTCACTGGCCGCTTTTCCTTCACTCTCTGGTCAGACTTCCCTAGAACATTTTCTGTTGTCTTTAGGTCAGGCGACCGGGTCATGTGATGTGACAGTATCACTCTCACATGGTTTGGTTGTCCAAACACTTGACTGGTTCCATCCTTCTGTGACAGGTACAATGGGAAGCGGGATGAAACTAACATGGTGATTATAAAGATGAAGCTCCTGTCTGGATATTCGCTGGACAAGCCTTCCCGTGAAGCTGTGAGTGGCATTATGCAGATGAATAGGAGGAGCAATATTGTCACAGATTGTTAACATTACCTGGTCTTTGGATTAATGATCAAAAGTTGACCAGGAACGTTGTTCATTTGCAGATGCTAAGCCAGCCCAATGTAAAGCGGGTAGAAGAGGATGATGGGCATGTTATCCTCTACGTGGATGAGGTAAAACTATAATAAGGTGTAGGCACTGTGTAACTCTAAGGCTGTGCTGCTATGTAACGAGTACCACTGTAAATAAGCACTGTCAGCCATACTGCTCTGTCACAAACATCTGCAGCTAAGTGGTGCTGGGTATGAGTTAGTATTTGGACAGGAAATTGTTAGGTTATGGAAAACAGAAATATTTTAGGATAACAAAGGGAGCAGTGTTATTAGGGTGACACGTCAAGCCTTGTGCTGATGGGGCTGTCAGACATTCAGCTCCTGATTTAGGCCCGATTAGGAAACGGGCCTTCCGCCTACTGATGTAACGGCCCCCCATTGCCCCTCAGCTTCTCGCCCAAAAAGCTAACGGGGACGGTTGTCTGCTAGAGAAGTCCACTCTTGATCACCAAGGCAGTGCTACATTTTGTTAGAAAAAAAAATCATGACCAGCATGCAATCACCTTTTATTCTCTCAAAAAGATTTTTCAATAATTGGGATCACAAGAAGGATAAATAAGACGCAGGTTTGGGATTTGCAGCAGCAATCAGAACATATGAATCAGAATACAGACCAGTTACCTTGTCTGTTATCTGTACAGCTGAAGAAAATGAAGTCCAACTTGTACTCTCTGACCATAATGGAAGATGTACCTGTACGGAATCGAAAGCCAGCTGTGGTGAAGGTGTACGACTACTACCAGACAAGTAAGAATCAGTGAAACCTGCATTTCAACTTTACAAACACGGCACTCAAGGAAAATAACACCTACAGTTATAAAATGGGAATACCTTCAGCTGGTAATTACTCTGTGATTAATGCTGATCAGGCTCATGTTCTTTTAGCCTCGTTTGCCATCTAAAAAGCAGCTATACTGTAAATGCTAATGTACCCTAACCCTCATCTGCAGGTGATGAAGCTGTGAGTGAGTACAGCTCCCCTTGTGCAGACAGTAAGTACCTTTTGCTCTCTCACACATGATCTTCACTAATCAACCGTCAGTGTGGTTGGTTTTTCCATGAAGTTCAAAGGGAATAATTCTACCACCATCCCAGCTGAACTTACCCAGACGCAGGAACCCCCACTGTGGAGCGGGTACATCGAAATTTAGCCCCAGATCTACTGAAACATGTAAATCTGACTTTGTGGTGACTGCGTGTACAGAGAATGGAAGAAAATGAGTGACAGCACATGTCACTTCCCAAGGAGAAGCTTGGGAGGCGTCGATCGCGGCTTCAGCCGTGCCTCTCACGATAAGAATGAGATTAGAACAGAACAGAAGATGGTTAAGCTGCCAGCTTCCCCCAAAATGGGAAGGAAACTGAAAGGGGAAAAAGCTTCTGGTTTCTTGCAGGTCACGGCTTAAATGAGGTGTAGGGTGGATGGTGCCGTGTGATTGGAGAGCTGGGCCAGCCCCCTGGGATGATGCCTTGTGATTGGAGAGCTGGGCCAGCCCCCTGATCTTGATGCGTGACCAAGCAAGCAAGCAGATCAACTGTGCAGGAGTTCTTCTGATGTTTCCAGCACTTTCTCTGGGTCTCCCCTCAGTTTATATGCTAACATAGATACTAACACACCAGAGATTTATTTTTATTGATTTTCATGCTACTACATTCTCAATTTAAAAAATACATCTTTTGAATGGTCCTTGAGGCTTCATACTTAAACACAGTTAAGTAAATGATATTGTTTTAGCAGCCAATATTCCACCCCGATAGATGTAGGTGTTTCAGGGAAACAATTTAACATTCTGGCAGTTGATATTATTCATATTAATTCAGCAGATTAACCAGCCTTCACTTTGTGTTTTCACAAATGTAAATGTAAATTGTAATTCAGTGTAATAAAGTAATAAAGCAAACCAATTTGACGTGTTCACAGGCTAGTGGAGAGGAGTTCAGATGATACAACATTTAATTGTGCCCAGTCAGTGTTGGTACTAAATTCAAATTTAAAAGCTAAGACAGATTTATATTGCATATACACTCACCTAAAGGATTATTAGGAACACCATACTAATACGGTGTTTGACCCCCTTTCGCCTTCAGAACTGCCTTAATTCTA